GCCCAGTATAAAGGGCCTCGTCGTCCCGCCCTCCTTGTTCAGCATTCCCTCCCGCCTCGCCGCCCGCTCTACACCGCCTTCCCTCCCGCCCTCCGAGTCACTTGTTCCCTTCGCTCCCGAGTCAATCCCCTTCCCGAGCTCCCTTAAGCACACATACGCACCTCGACTCATTTCCCCAGTCCACATGTACTCCAACCAAACCCCGCACACTCCCGGCGCACCTTATGTGCCGTCTCATGGCCTACCGACGCCTACGTCGGTTGGGAGCGGCCAGTACACTCAGTATGCGAACACAGTGCCCAACGCACCATACATGGCTTCTGTTCCGCTTCCCCGCACGCCGAACGGCGGCTATACCCGTGGGTCCTTTCCTCCGCTACCATACGGGTCGTGCTCACATCCTACCGCAGAGCTTCCATCCCCTCCTGAGAGTCCGAGTGCTCCTCGTCACTCCCCTCCGACCCTAGGAGAGTACATCACGCCGCGCCGCCGTATATCGTATGATGTTCGCGCTGCTCCCGTCTCGGCCGTTCATCCCAGCTATCTCTCGCAACCTGCCGCAGACCGCCCGTTTACTATCTACATTCCCGCTCTTGGCAATGCAGTGGGCGTGAGCTATGTGTCTGTTCCGTGTCACCGCGGATACCCTGTCACGGTGCAGACTGTGCTCGAATGCTTGAGCTCTCATCTTGCCGCCCCGATGTCGTCTCAACTGTTCTCATCCTTAGACCGCAATCAGCGGGCCGCTGTTGATTCACTTCGGATACATGAGCGCGGGCCAAACGCAGCGCGCACTCTGCGAGACCTCTTGCATGCCAACGTCTACTTCAAGGGCCTGTCGGTCGAGAACGGACACGTCGTGGCTCACCTTAGTCATCAGCCTTGAAGTGCAAGATTGATCTCGGTGCCTCAAGCTCCCATGTCAAAAGCTCAAGACCGGACGATTCGCTTCAGCACCGTCGCTAAGCACCCTCCGGCGTTCAACTATGTTATCATTCCACATCCCCGCTCCGCACCCACCACCACTATGTTACATATTCGTCTCAGCCATTTCCTCAAGCGACACCCCTCTCACACATGGACTTCAAGTAGCTACTCTGCGTTGAACTTTGGCGACCTCGCCTGATTGAAGACTCAATACTGTATCAATAGTTATCAATATCCCGTCTTGTATACCACGCATATGTTACTTTTGGACTTTTTAGTGCAATTAAATGAGATTTCTCCTCATCTGCCTTCGCGAGATCTTCAGCTAGAGGAGGACAGGAGCTCGGCCGAACGCGAACTTCAGGCTGAGCGCGTTACACACGTGATCGCGATCTGAACTATTCGCCACTAAACCCGCGCGATGAAGTTGCAACTTGAACTTCAACCACGACCACCATAATCTACCTTACGACTTTCATTTAATCCAGCCGCGATGCTTCTTACGACTATCTTTCTTACTCTCGGCTCGTTTCTTGCTTCTACGGACGGAGCTGCGCTCCAGTCCCGGGCCTCACGACCGCCGCCTTCGCCCTCTTTGACACCACTCAACGCGACTAGTACTGCAACGCCGCCGCCGACCCCCGTGTCTCAAGCCATGACGGCTCACACCGCAAGCTCTAATAAGCCGATGCTTATGAACCTGCTTGGGTTGAAGCGTCAGGAAGACGCCGAGCCTTCGGACACACGCCCGACGCCCGATCCGACCGGCGAGCCATCCGACACGACAACCGTGCACATCAGCAGTCAGGCAGACTTCTCTCTCTTACTTCCTGGAAGGCAGGGAGGTATGTACATATTTAAGGCTATCACTTGCGCAGCGGGCTGAGTATCTCATCTAGAACTGGTATCCGATGCCGAAGCAGATGGTGTATCGTTCTGTTCTACTGAAAGCACGGATCCTGGATGCACCAACCGCCAGAAAGTACAGGATGGCTTCATCACAGCTGCCGCTTATGCCGCGGACCCAGATGGCGCTTGGATCCAGGTAAGCGACTGGCTTGGGTCGAAGTCCATGGACTTCTGTTCACCTAGATTGATAGGTTACGGGCTGCATCGACCCAAGCAAGAGCACACTCGACCCGAGCGACGCCGGCGGACAGATGGATGTCCGCTTTCCTAATGGCGCTCAGTGCACATTCGGCGGCTACGGCGCGAGCTTCATTGAACTGTGCGTTTTGGATCTGCATCCACCCTCATCTCAGCTGCTTGGATCGCCTTGCTGATGCAGTTCGATAGTGTCGAGCCTGCCCTCAACCGCTTCTGCATCCGCTGCTGTCGTGATAAGAACGACCAGACCAACTGCAACTCTCACCGCGACCGTCTAGGCTGCGAAACCGCCATCCCAGGAACCTACGACTTCCCTGAAGCCGGCATCAGCTGCTCGTAAACGACTGCACCCGACACCTCTCGTTGGGCGGCGAAGTCCAGCGCGCGAGTTATCCCATTTACTTTACAACACCCTCCTCAACCGGACACGCTGGCGCCCGGAGGGGGCTCTCATATCATACCCTGCTCATGACTATACCCAGCATGACTATACCCTACTTCATACGTCTTGCATTGAACTTCGTTGCCCCTCAGTGTTAGTGCAAACAACATAATCGAGCCAGCGGGTGTCATGCGGTCTAGTCTCAACCACGGTGGGAGATATGCATCCATCCATCGAGATGGGCGCCACACGTCGCACGCGGGGTAGGCATGCATCCCGACGGCGGCCCGCTTCTTCCCGCTTCCATACTGGAGCTGGCACGGGCACCTCGGTATATCCGGTTCTCCCATCTCCACGCGCTCACAAGGAAAGTCCTGATGCGACTCTTTCGATCAACGCTTGCTTATCGCGCCGCACTTATAGCCAGACCATTCGACGTGCCGGAAAGAGCCTGTTCGATCTCACAGTTGACAGCACCGTACTCACACCCCATTACCACCTGTCATACGCGTGTCGACCCAAGCAGCGCTAGAAAGGCATCGTCAAGAAGGTATCGACATCATATAATGACGGTTATATCGCGAACTGCTGCCGGCAGATTCTCCGTCGTTGATTATCGGGCAACTGCGCGCACGTCCGCTACTCTGCCAGCTTGCTTCATGTGATGGTGACGCTTTATGTTTCCGGCGTTCTTCAGAACGCCTATCTCGACGTACTAACTAGCCGGCCATGCAGGGTCTTGTACGAGCGCTGCGGGCCAATGATAGGACCATACCACTGCTGAGCGCTGACACCGGGACACCCCATAGTAATCTCTTCTACATATGTGTATGTGGAGCGCCACGGTTCTCGAAGCCAAGTGTATGTATAAGCGAAGCGGCTTGCTCGTGTCACTGCTTCCAGATCGACGTAGTCGGGTGACCAGAGAGCGAGAAGCGACCAAGCGCAGAAGCACCATGCGAGCTCCGCCTACGCTGTTATACATCCTTATCGCTGGTGCCTTACCTTCCCCGGATGTAGTATCCACGACACTGTGGGCACCGCGATATGCGTACAGATAAAGCGTCGAAGCTAGCGGATACCTGACCTGCGAGTTCTCCTGGACTCTCGCTTCGTCGCCATGTCCGCTCCGGAGCTTCCGCGCGAGAAGTCGTCGGCGTCCCTCGAGAAGGAGGACATCGCGAGCGTGGATGTCAAGGACCTGCCCGAGAGTGAGCGCACATCTCAGCTGGAGCGCGAGGAGTATCTCGTGGAGGACTATGCGCACGATGTCACGGTCAAGGTGCGTAGCGTCATCTTACTCTTGTTGTTCGCGTCGCTCAGCGAGTACTTGCAGGTTCTGTCTGCCCAAGACGACCCGTCTCTACCCTGGTTCACTTTCCGTTCGGTCTTCCTTGGGATCGGGTTGAGTGCTTTTGGAGCGGTGCTTGCGCAGATCTACTAGTGCGTCCGTGTCGACTTCTCCTTGACACCATGCTGACCGAGATCCAGCTTCAAACCGCAGACAGTCAGCGTCGCCCGGCTGTTTTTGCTACTTGTATCGTTTTTCCTAGGAGAGGGTATGGCGTACACGATGCCGCGTAAAGGGTGGTTCCGCTATCTCAACCCCGGGCCGTTCAACAGTACGTGCTTAACTCAGTCGTACTTCAGTCCAACCTGCTGACGGTGACCATAGTCAAGGAGGTGAGTCGTCAATTGGTCTTCTGACCAGGATGGTGCTGAATTGGCACAGCACACGGCCATTTTGATCATGTACGTGTTCGTGTGCTAGGGAAAGAAGTCGACGCTGAGATCCTGGTCAGGGCGAGTACAGCATCTGTCTCTGCTACGGCATCTGAGATCATCGCGGTGGACGACTTGTACTACAACAACAAGCTCGAGCCAGCTCTGGCCATCTTCACCATCTTAGCATCTCAGCTTCTGGGCTATGGCTTCGCGGGGTCAGTGATCTATTCCGACGGAAACATAGTCGCTGTCTAACAATGCCCTACAGAATCCTTCGCGATATCCTGGTTTATCCAACTGCAGTACGTTCATCTCATCTTCGCCTCATATTGCCTCGCTGACTTGCGATTCAAGTCCTGGTGGCCGTCGATCGTTGTATCCGCGAACGTGTTCCAAGCTCTTCACTTCGACCGGGCCGTCACATCCAAGCGCGTCAAGCTCTTCTGGACAGTCTTCACGTACGTCTTCCTCCGCTCAAGTCTCAGTACAGTCGCTTAGCCATCACCACCTCAGCGTGATCGCCGTATGGGAGATCGTGCCGGAGTACATGTTCCCCTTGCTCTCAGGTTTCTCCATCTTCTGTCTAGCGGATAACGGCAGACATGACATCATGCGCAAGTACGTGCCCCCATCCGCAACGCCAGTACGTGCACTAAGCAATCGAGCAGCCTCTTTGGAGGAGCATCCAACAACGAAGGGACAGGTCTACTTGCGTGAGTGCCGAGGCCAGATAAGTTCTGGGACCCTCGTCTCAACCCGCCTTAGCCTCTGCTTCGACTTCAACTATATTGGTGGCGACGTGAGTACATCACCTCATCAGGTTACTGCCGCTGCTTACGCCTTGGTAGAATTTGTGGACACCCTTAGTCACCCAGTTGAACCAGGATGCTGGTCTTGCACTCACCTGTGAGTCTTTTCACCACTCTGGCCCTCTCGCGAGATCTGACTACCGATGCAGACATCTTCATGATGGCTCTTGTCAGTTGCAATATGAGCGCTTGACCATTCGTGTCGCTGATGATATACGCGTAGTACTATGGCAACGTCTGGAAAGCTAAGGTCTGATATATACAAAGCCTATCCGCAAAGCAGAACTGACGCGAGACTTACCCTAGAGCTTCCCGTTCATGAGCCAGGACCTGTTCTTCATCAACGGCACGCAATACAACCAGGCTGCGATCTTGACCGACAATGCTTTGTAAGTCACCAGCTGCCGCGCGCCCCGAGAATTTGCAAGCCTTGCTGACCCATACGCTAGCGATGCCGAGAAGTACGCAGAGGTCGGGGCTGCTTACTTTTCGGCCACCAATGTAAGATCTTGCAAACATTGACTGAACCTGGAGTACTGATACTCTTCAGGCATGGTTCCTACTCGTGTCTAACCTTGCTCTTGGCTCCTGCGTACGTTCCACGATCTCGTGTTCCAACCTTCGCCCTTGACATGCATCCAGCTCGTACATGTCCTGCTGTGGCATTGGGACCAGATCAAGTCCGGCTTTACCCTGCGCTACCTTTGGCAACCGTCAGAGATTGAGGATGCTCACTACAATGAGATGAAGAAGTACAAGCCCGTTCCGCACTGGTGGTTCCTCGTTGTGCTTCTTGGCTCCTTCGCTGCTGCGCAAGCTACGAACTACAAGGGCCAGAGTGACCTTCCGTGGTGGGCGTTGATTGTGCTGCTCATCATGTCCTTCATCTTCCTCGTCATCTACGGGTACGTATCACCGTGCACCCGTTATGAACCTTCATCTGATGCTGTTTATCAGTTTCCTAGCCTCCATCACTGGCTTCCAACTGTCGTGGTTTGGAAGCGGTTTCTTCCAGGTATGCATGAATCCCTCACGTACTCGTGCAAAAGCTCACGTACGTAGATGATTACCGCGTTCATGGTTCCTGGAAAGCCTGTGGCAAACATGGTCCTCCGTTTCTATGCTACGTTGACCCATCATGGCTCACCTACCGCGTACAGTACGGCGCAGTATATGGTCAGCATACCATGAACCAAGGAATGACATTGCTGGCGGACATGAGTGCGTGCTGCGTCTCAACAACCGATTGCGCATATGCTCACCTTGTACGTTGCAGAGCTCGGTCAATACGTGAAGCTTCCGCCTCGAGGTCAGCTGAGTGGACAGCTTGGACTCATGTAGCGTCTTACTGACTTTTGGATAGCTACCTTCTACTCTCAAGTAGGAGGCGCGGTCGTTGGTGCCATCCTCAACTACGTCATGCTATTGAACATCATAGACAGTACGTTCAACTTAAGCTTGCCGTGTAGCGTCGCCAACCCTCCCTAGGCAATCGCCCCGCGCTGCTCTCCGTCGCCGGTACTCGTCTATGGTCTGGCCAGAACCCGCAATCCTACAACTCCAAGTACGATCTCCTCTGGAAACAGTCGACGAACGTACACTGAAGTTTGCTAGTGCCATATCTTGGGGTGCCCTGGGTCCTCAAATGTTCGGCGCTGACGGACTCTACGTGATGATCCCCGTATCGCTTGCCATCGGCATCTTCCTTCCCTTCCCCTTCTGGTTCCTCCACAAGAAGTACCCTAAAGCTGGTTTCAACAACGTGATTACGCCCATCATTACCCGTGCGCTTATTTTGCCGTCTGCGAGTTCATCATTTGCTCATCGCCTTGCAGAATACAGCGCATGGTTGACCGTCGGGATCAACACCTCTATCCTGTCATCGGTCCTGCTGGGTGTTGTCTCCCAATAGTGAGCCTACTCGTCAGAACCTATCATGCACACCACTCACTGCGGTCCAGCTGGGTTCGTCGTCGCTTCCCGCGCTGGTTCACCAAGGTAAGTACCATTTGCATTTATCTGAGGCACGTGCTCACACGATCAACAGTACAAGTAAGCCATAGAGTTGGATTGGTCATGAGGCCTGAGGTCCTCAACACTGACTATCGAACTACAGCTACCTGGTGTCTGGTGCTATCGACGGAGGTACTCAAGTCATGGTCTTCATCCTCTCGTACGTCATTCTGAATACGTCATCGCCCCTCCACTAAATAATCCTTCAGCTTCGCGGTCTTCGGCGCTGCTGGGACCTCCCATGATTTCCCCACTTGGGTACGTCGTTCCCGTGTCTCAGGCAGCGTCTCGACTCACACATCTGTCAGTGGGGCAACCCGTCTCTCGACGATGGATTCTCGGCAGACCGCTGTAAGGCGCCAGCGTAACTTCTGGTCGCTCAACAACACCTTCATATGCATTAAGCTGGTCTTCGTTTCTCCACTGTCCGTAGAGTACTGCAACGATTCATGTTTTCTTGTGCTTGAATGCGATCCTTGGAGGATCTTGTGGTTGGCGAGCGAATCGAGTCATGGAAACGATACAAACCGTTGACGGGTATGCGGCTCAGCTCGAGATATGAAGGTCGTGCAACGCCGCAACGTGGCAAGGCCGTGTGTGCTACGGGTGATATGGTCCGCAAGTAGTAGGACCGAGACTCTTTGGGCCTTTCGCCTTCCCCGTCCTGCGTCTAACTGGTCGAGCAAGACGGTTACGACAGCGCGGCGCGAACACCACGAAGTAGCCTCGCGAGTGCAAGGTGTACCTGCTCAGGTGATTGGTCTGTTCTTGATCGCAAGATCCGTGCTCTCTAGATGTTCTGTTGCACTACAGACGACCATCTGTGAAGGCCTCGTTTGTAGGCGTCATCGAGCAAGGACGAGAGCACGATGGAGGTGACATCAGAATCGAGCTTGTGCGGCTTCCTGTCCGCGCGTCTGTGCTCATACGTCTGTCTTTCGCATGCAAGTGTGCAGGTGTCCTGGGCCCGTGACCACATAGTTGAATTGATTGATATCCCCGGCGAGATAGCCGTGCTGGGACGTATGTGGCTGTCGAGACCTTCGGTAGACGATCGTCATTTGTAGACAACTTGCTTGGCGACCACCCGTGGTCAACTACTACCACCTCCACGACGCTGATGCGTGAATCACGATTGTGCCCGGTTTGCATGCACACGCTGGTAAAGTATATCATGCATTTCGTCTTGAAAACTAAGTATTGTACGCGTGACCTCTGAATCTCACACGTTTTTGTGGCCGGTCTCCCCGCGAGCCTCGTCAGGTCACCAGGATGGAAAACTGCTCAAAGATTGGGGACAAGTCCGGCGCCGAGTACACATCGGGCTGCGTCTAGAGCGGATATTGCTCAGGGGCACGGAAGTCCTTGGGGCCCATCGAAGAAGTACTATCAAATGTTTGTCAGCATTTCATATAGGTGGAGTGTGGAGACTTAAGGCAAGGCCGGTAAGGTTGAAGTTCTATGATGGAAGCGAAGCGACCTTGCGTTTGTCGTATCGAGAAGATTGTAGGGTGAAGCCGGCATGACAATCATATAGCATCGGCAAAACCAACGACCAGATGTAGAAGGGTTCGTCCCGAGCTGGTGTAGGCTATAAGGCGTCTATGACGGCGGTCACCTAGCAATACAGCGATCAGTTAGAGGTACTAAGGACTGGTATGTGAAGAACAGTACCGGAGTTTTAGTGCGCGCCAGGGATCATAAGAAGCCCACTGCCTGCAGAGGGTGCCATCGTCGCACGTATGTTCGCTCGATATGATGCCGGAGGGTTGAGATCATCGCTTGCTCGTAAGCCGAGCGGGCATTATCATCTGGCGGCCGAAGATAGGAAAGGGTGTCGAGGAGGGCGAGTACGCCGAAGAGCGCACGACCAACGCTTGTCTTCGAGTTGGTCCATTCGCACGACCGCACGTCTTCTGGCCATATATGGACCGTCGATCCAGGCAAAATCAGACTATACAGTTGATAGGCTCGCCAAACCAACGGAGCCGTTGCCATAAGGAAGCAGCGGAGAGATGAAGCCCTCCCGCAATGCGACCGCAAGACCAGTGACGTTTTACGTAGATGAACATGGGTGTTTGTGTGTCTGTGTACAGCGTACGGTGTCGCTGATCTGGGGCAGCAGGTGATCAGAACGGGGTCCTCAGCTTGATTCTGGCCTGCGCTCTTGAGAGGCATTAACACCGTGAAGTCCAGAACGTAGCGTAGTCTTGTCATGGTATAGACGGTCGGCCCGCCTGTCGCGTCATGTTATTCGAGACCTCCCATGCGCTCGATGAGGCAGCTCCGCAGTCAGACTGTGGGTCTGATCATAGACCTGTCGGACATAAGGTGCGGAGTGGCTTGGATTGTGGGGTGCCGAGTATGAACGGCGCGGGGCAGATTGACCAGGGACCGCGAAGATGTCAATCGAAGCAGTCTATGTCGTGACGCGGGCGGGAAGGTGGCCGGCCGCAAGCTGCCGAGAGCGTACTCGACAAGCACATCCGTAGACGCGCTTTACCTCACTCATTAGAGCACAAGACATGTCGCTTAGTCCAGCCGAAGGGGGATGAGGTATTCGCCTACACGGTAACGGGGGAATGCGGGCCGAACTAATGTCGAAGATCAAGAGCCCCTGCCTGGGTAGGAATACAGAAACGGGCGCGCCAGTAAGCCCTTGCAGCCGCGAACGCCACAAAGAGCATAGCCCCAGTCGTTCCAGGAGTCAGAAGCCAGCACTTGTTCTAGCAAAGGCGTGTCCTGCGTCAGACGAAGCGGCTTGAGAGATCGCAGGTAGATCGGTGTGTGTACACACTCGGCCGCGTGGTGATGCCGCCGGTGGGGATCGGATGGCGGTTCAGACAAAGCTGGCAAGCCCTTCGTGGCAAGTTTCACTGACTAGCTGGAGGGGTCGAGAGGCAGGCACGTAGGCCTGCGAAAACCTCGGGCGGAAGCTTGACTGGAGGATGAAAAACAGTGGGGTCCGTTCCAGGGCGGGGGGAAGACTTCGGAGAAGTGACCAGATCGTATAGGCGCTCGCAGATGTGAATTCCGAGGCGCTGCAGATGGGCATAAGCCTCGAAAGCGGCAAGCAGGCATCCGCCGCGGCGGGAAGACGGATTCATACACGCGGGCGTCAGAGTGAGCCGGGATCTGAGGAACCTCGCGCTGGGACGCCTCGCGCCGCCCACGTTGCAGGAGATGTGCCATATAACCAGTTGAACTCCTGTTCAAGAGCGCCACATACACGACTCTTGACGCTCCTCGCGATGACGGAGTACACCTCCGACCCGGCTGCTGTGGCGGCCTATTACGCTGCCCGGGCCAGGACGACAAACTGGATTCAGGGGGTGTCGCCAAACGCCGAACGCCCATCGGCGCCTCCATCGCTCGTCGACGACACCGACGATGGACTCTCTTCTCCTTCTCCCGAGTCCGACTACGAGAGCGACCTGAGTCTTCCTCCTCGCATGACGCTCAAATACCCGGACGGGCGGTTAGTTTCCATCGGCCCAAGTAGGGAGGAGCGTGAAAGAGTTGAACGGTTGAGGAAGGAGCGCGAGCGGGAACGGCTGGTGGGGACAACAGGCGGCGTCGGAGGTAGTGGAAAGGGCAAACAGCGGGCGTACGAGGGTGCAAGTCCGCTGTACGTCCCGCCGCCGCGCGCTCACGGTGGGGCCGAACCGGAGCCAATTGCCATTCAGCCGTCGCATTCACCGTCATCCTCACACTCGCACATTCCGGCGCAACCCAGTGCCTACTCATGGCGACAAGCACCGTACGCGCCGTATCCGCCGTCGGCTTTCGCACCGGCACCAGCTTCAACGCGGTCACATTACCCGCCTTTGCCCGCATCTTCCGCGTCACGACCCCCGACGTCCTACCATCCGGCACAAGCCCAATCCTCTTCGCATCACAGCGTGGTACCACCCTCTCCCTACCAGTCTACGCGCTCCAGCGCTGTCTTGTCACATGAAGGCACCATCATACCCCATGCCCCCTCGCAGCATACTCAGATGGGTGGCGCGCCGTTGGTCGGCGGGTCGAGCGCGCGCTCCATACATGGTTATTCCTCGCAGTCGCAGATGAATTTCATTCCTCAAGCACAGGCGCCATCACATTCAGGCTCTCGAGCGGCCACTTTCACCTCGCAGCGCTCTCACCATAGTCACTCGCAGTCGACTCCAATCGTCTCGCCCTCTCCAGTGTACGCCTTTGAAGCCGAGAAGCAGTCATCTTTGCTGGAGCCTCCGCACGGGCAGCATGTGGTTCCTGACGAGCCAGAAGACATCCATGCCCACGATCAGGGTACGCCAGTACCTAGAGACACGACACCCATTCTCGTGCATAGGACGCCACCCGCCAAACCAAGGAGTCTACGTGATGCGCCAGCCCCTGATGCGTATCATCCTCGCCAGGCCACTGCATCCGGATCGGCGTCTCAGAAATCGGCACGTTCCGCGTCTCGACACAGGCGCCACGTTTCGGCGCCCTTGGAAGGGCCACCACCAGCCGCGAGCTCGGCGCGCTCGGCGACTCGAAAGCCACCTGCCATCATATACGCCGCCTCAAACGCGGATGGCTCTTACGAGCAGTTCGCACCTCCGAGGATCATCCCTCGCTCCCAACTTTCCGCTGCCTCTCGCTCGCAGCCGCACCTAGCGAGCGGTTCGGGGTCCATGAATGATCGCAGCCCGCCGCGTGTGGCGCCTTCAATATCGGACCCGTTACCAGTGCCACCACCGCCTGCTGGGCCCAGTCAGCCTGCCAACGCCCCGATGCCGCAAGGACGATCTTCACATTCTCACTCAAGTGGTCACCGATCCAAGCGCACCAGCCGTTCCCGCGAGAAAACAGATGGATGGGAAAGAATCCGCGCATCTCGAGTGCCGAGACCCGAAGAGCTGCCGCCCGACCCAGTTCCTGCGTCGCCATTCGCCTTTGCGCGGCTACCGCGATTGCCTGGACGTAACCGTGCTGCGCCAATACCACCACCGCCACCGCCACCTCCTCCTAGACCACACCAAGCTCCGCGTCCGCCTCCACACCCGCATGTGCCATCGTCGCAGGAAGGCGAGCTCAGGCGAGGGCGTCGTTGGAGAAAGGTGCCTTCCCCAAACGATGATGACGGTCAAGAGAGCGAAAGCAGTGGAAGTACCTATTACATTCTGCCGAGTCCCGGGCAGAAGGTCTACGTCGTCGTGAGTGCCCCGACAATTTATATCGAAAAGACGCTGAAGAACCGCAGGAGCCACCGGATGATTTTGACCTCGCGCATTACCAAGTACCGCCGCCAGAATGGGAGCATCGTTCGCACACGCTACCTCGCCGCTCATACCAACCAACACCATCAACACCGTCCTCGTTTTCACAACTATTGCACGGACCTACCATCGCGCCAGCTCCGCCACACGCGGTTGCACCTCCTCCGGTTCTGTCAGGTTCGGCACCCGCCCTACCTGTCCCGCCTCCTCATACAAATGCGTTCACGAGCATGCGCAATCGCCTATATGCGCCGCTCGGCATGCAGCGCTCGCGTTCGGGTGGCGCTGCAAATGTCCTAGCCGCTCCTGTGCCACCGCCGCCCATTTTGGCAACCGAGATTCAGGTTGGTATCGTCTTTCAAGTTCTACGAACACCTCCACCGTCTCGCCCACCTTTCTTCTCTCAGCTGAGATCTCCATCACCTCTGTTAAACCTTCCATACTTACGCGCATATAGCCGCAGGAACCGCACCGCAAGCCTCTATTGAAACGTATCTGGACGCGCAGGTAGGAGGACGAGTGTGGTGGACAAGAGCAAAGCTGACAGGTTCGTATGCTCAGCTCTTTGTGAGGAAGCTATTCGGCTCACAACGTTGCATAGCTGACAGGTCCACTTTCCTACATCGCCTGGCGCGCTTTTGGCAATCACTTTCACCTTTCCGTCCCTAAGCGCCCACATAATTCCCGATCCTCTGCCTTCATGATTGAACCGTCTTCGCCTTCTCCCGCATTGATCTGCACTTTACGACTCCATGATCGACTCTGCTGTCTTGTCCTCGACGGACAAGTGCTGTCCTGCGACGATCGATCGTTACCGCATACCCGTCCCCCTCAAGAATTTCGGACCAGCCGCTCTGTGTAAAAGTACCTCCGCACCATCACCTTGCTCTCCACTCTCATTGTTGTACTGCTATCGCCCACGATTTGGATGACGCGCCGGCCCGCATGAATTGCACGTAGAATAACACGCCCCAAGCACGACCTACGCTTTACCTTACTCACAACCTTCGTAATGCCACCGCAGGCCTCGTGCCTCGTATTTCCCTTTTGTCCGCTTCTTCAGGCAGGGCTCGCCCTTCATCTAGGCATGCTACGGAGAAAATGGAAAGGTCGAAGCGCTCGGGGGCAGTGAATTTCAAGACCAGACTTCTCTCATGCAAACTACTCTTTCATGCGCGCCGTGCGTGCATCAAGCGTGGACTTCGCGTGCATCGACGCATGGCGCGCGAGCGTGGGGAGTATTCAGTGGGCACGAGGACCCGACGTTGAGTGGGCAGACGTGGCTCGCAGCTTTCACACCAGCACTTCGCGAACCGACCAACCAAATGAGGATGATTGGGCATGGAGAACATGGTCTGCACAATCTACGCTAACACTCGCCAGATAGTGTCTGTGGCGCCTCTGCGGGAGCTACCGTACGATGAAGGATACGTCAATCAGCTTTCTTTCTGCAACCGTGCACCTTCTTATGCTCTTTCCAACCTTCGAGTTGGCATTCCTTGCCACAGAACAAGGCGCGGCCGCTGCAAGAGCCTATGGCATGACATGAACAAAGCGTTTCAACTTCACAGATTCGGCGTAGCTCACCTCCACACCGCTTCCAGCTTCGGCCTGTTGAGCCGCAAGTGAAACACCGCTGCCACGGGCCGGCCTTGGCGGAACGCGCCTCTTCTTCCACGTCAACGTCCTCGAAGTACCCGTTCATGACGTCCACCTTGAGCTGCCAGATGTCCGAGAAGCAGCGCGATCGCTCGTAGAATGGCAGATACTCATGGCTGGTGTACCCACCATACAGGAACGTCTTCCCACTGCAAACGATCAACAAAGCGTTCACAGCGTGAAAAGAGATTAGATGCGTACGTTGCAGGATCGGTGATCAGTCTCGTGTTCGCTCGATACGTCGGGAAGCCGCGCGTAAGCACTTGTTTCCAGCGCAGAGGATCGTCTGGTGAAGCGCGCGTACTCATGTCGAGCATGAACGTGTCGGCAAAGTACTGGAAGTCCCAGGTTTGCTCTCGACCCTGTTCGTCCGTGACGCTCGAAACGAGCGCGGGGTTGTAGCCTCCGAAGACAATAGCGCTGTTCAGACTGGGGTTCTGCAGGAGCGCATGAGCGATAGCATCTAGAAAGTCAAACAAGACGCACAAAGACGTAGCCGGCCTCTGAACGCGGGCAAGGTGGATTTCCCGATACTCGCCCACGGGTCCAGAACTCGCCCTCGATATCCCAAGACCAGAAGTCATCGTACGGGTAAGAGACGCCAGCGCCGTGTTTCTGACCGTTTATCATCGCGCCACTACGATCGGCTTCACCACCGAAGAGGTATATCTTCTTCTCGTCCGCATCTGTCCACAGCATGGCGTTCCCGCGCGGACCAGGAGAGCGATAGTCTGCGCGTAGATCCGCGGCTCGGGCATTGCCAGAGAGCTTTCGCCACTGACCAGTACGCATATTGATGACGAGGAACAAGTCGCAACCCAGTCGTTCGTCGCTATGCTTGCCTCCAAAGACGTAGAAGTGTTCGCGGCGCGGTGCGTAAGTGCTCGCAAACTCGCATAGAGCATCGTCTGTAGGCCATCGAGTACCTGGGACAGCAGGCAAGGCCTGGACAGTGCGGTTCTTCCACTTGCGCTTCACAAGATCAAAGGCGTATAATGTGTCGAAACCAGCAAAGAAGTATAGCGTGTTCTCGTTCACATACATCCCATGATGCGTTAGCAAACCGTTATTCGGTATGCTCTTGTTGGGGAAGGACGGCAACGTGTGCCATCCATCCAGTTTGTTGAGATCGATATAGTGAAAGTCATTGTAGTACGGACCCTCAGACGGATGCCTTTCGCCGCCCAAGACGTATAGACAACCTGTATTGAATGTTTCGTGAGCCCGAGCCGTGATGATGGGCGACACATTACTCACTGTTCCAGACACAATACGCCTCTCCTTGCCGTACGGGAAGGCCTCTGCCGGATACCTGCAGCTTCTGCCAACTTCCCAGGACCTGCAGATCTGGACGGATCACCTTAGCCAGTGCAGCCAATCGCGGCTCCGGATGCTTCAAGGCGCTCATCTCAGCGAAATGGCTTATGGGTGGGAGTAGCTTTTGAAGGTCTTGTTTCTCGAGGATGAAGTTATTCTCGAATTGAGCGCGGATTGTAGCAAGCTGATGCCATGCCGTTGCCGTGTTGCCGAGTGACTTGTACAGAGAGGAAGCGTTGATCATGGCGACCATGCGAGCCTGCCAGTATTCAGTCAGGGGCAGGTTGGAGTTCTTCCATGCTGGTCTTGTTCGTCAACTAGGGGACAGGGGAGCGTATTCAGTGACGATGCTTACGATACTCATTGGGAGTTTGAGAGAAGAACAGATGTCGGTGTACTATCTCAACTTCTTCAGAGTACATGAGCGCCTTCAGATGTGATGAGTGAAGCTGCGACGCGAATAACGGGAATCTCCACGTACGCGAGCATCGTCATCTCGATCGCCTCTGACGCCGGCATTGTGAATAGCTGAGCCAAGACCGGCACACGTAGACATAAGCATTGAACGCTCAATCTCGTCGAGGTCAAGATACTTCTGAGAGATATAGCCGCCGCGAGAGGGTACGCAGAAGTCTTCGCCGACGATGCTAGTGATAGCCTTTGCATACTCTTCGGCAGCCTCATCAAAATCGGCAGTGACCGGGTTCTGAGTAAGATCTTGACCGCGATCCATAAACACCCGCGCCTTGTCAGTGCGGGCTTGACGTATAGGATCTCTGACAAGCTTAGTACGAGACGAGGAGCCTCCCGCCTTATTCGAGTCCAACTCGCCAGACTCGACCTTCCTCATGAGGAGTTCAGCCATGCCCGGAGGTAACTTCGACTTGAAGTGGCTCAGAAATTCAAGTGTCGTCTTTTGGTCCATGACGCCTAAGTCTGCAGCCGTCCAGAGGCAGGGGTAGATTATACTCGAACAGTGGGCTTCCGAACTGGTGGATACGGTGTGAGGTGTGAGTATAGGGGTTAGTAGACCTTGACGACCGGTCACGTACCTACTGATCCACGCTCAAGAACAGATTTGTTGAAAGTAAAACCAATATTCACGTTGGCATAGAGCGGTATAGTCGGTCTGCATCAACATGATGAATGATGTGGCGCAGGGTGTTCATGGCTATTAGGGAGCGCACCAGCCGTCTCGGACTTGAGCTCAGCACACCGGCGGCAGGAGAGTGACGAAGAAGCCTCCAGGGTCGTGTAGCCTGCGAGCTGATGGCGGTTGCGGAGGAAGACGCGTGTTGGACGCGAGCCCGAGCGTCGCCGGCGCGTCGCGCACGCGCCCGTCCACACCGCGCCAAAGTCTGACGCGTAGCACGTGGAGAGAACGTGGTCGTGTTGTCCGTATGTTGCGCGCTCGTTTCTTGCTTCCCAACTTCATGCACTGTAAGGTGACCGGGGGATCTCCATCGAATACCAGACTTACACCTTGAACAAACTATGCCAACGCGCTCCGCGCGCTTTCCTAAGTTCTCACTGCAGCACGAAATCGGCCGACTGCACTTCTCCCTATAGCCTAGCACTTCCTGGATCCCTGCCTTTGCCCGCCGCCTCGATCCAGGCCCTGCGCCGATACCGATCCCCACGCCCAACACGAAGGCGAACATGGAGGCAGCGACCGCGCAGACCGAGTCGGTGCATCCTGAGTGCAAAACGTGCCGCCGGATGATGGAGCGCCACAACTCACGCCGCGATGTACAGTAGCGGCGTAGGACAACCACTCGTGCTTCGTTCAGCCGAACGCGCGCGTCATGACTCGCAGATGCCGCACACGACCTCGAGATGTAGAGCGATTCAGCCAGTACCAGCTCCGTACAGATGGCAGGGGGGTGGATGCGGCGGGACGGACGATGGCATTGGCTGGGAAGGATTCAGAGCGCAGGTTGAGCCGTTTGACGCATGATGGACGAGGGTCGACTCTCCACACGATTCTGTGTGCTCCGGGCTGGGAAGAATGTGTATGCAGGCATATTATTCTGAGGATCTGTCGTTCTGGAGGCTGAGGCTGAGCTCGAGCACGAAACCGGCCAGGGCGGCTAGAGGCGAGTCGCGCCGAAACCGAGCACAGCTCATACGAGTACCGTTTTTGTACATACCATGCATCATCGTGCCGACACACCTAAATATCATACTCCCAACGCCACGCATAGAGCACCCGGGTCCCGTCGCGATCGAATCGGATAGAACGGGGTAAAACGGCGAGCGCCGACTGTATTAGACTGGTATCGTAAAGTAAATATAAGCTACAGTGTGTGAGAGACGAGACAACAGACAGGAGACAAGAGTGAGAGACGTTTTGGGGTAGGCTACACGAGTAAACAGACCGCTCGGAACAGGGGAACGCAGACGTGCAGAAGAGCAGACATGAGATGGAGAAGAGCAGAACATGAGATGAAGAGTAGAACATGAGGGGAACCGTGCGGGGAGGACCGGGCCTCGCCGCGAGTATATGCTACAGTGATGTGGTATTGTTCGCCGGACGACGACGCGCGGGGCAAATGGGATGATAGATGTTAAAGAGAACACGAGCCAAGATGGTGTGAGTTGAAAGAGAAAGGATGAGATGGAGCATTATGTAGATGTGCGAGCAAACCGAAAAATCTTGAACGGAGACGCGAGCCGAGTGGTGAAGAGGCTCAATAAGTGTGCTGCGGAACCTCGCCGTACATCGGTGCCGGATGCGACGCGAACTGCTCGTTCGGGTGCGTGACAAAAGCCTCACTCGGCAGCGTAAACTCGTGCGGTGGGTACGCGGCAGGCTCGGAGTGGTACACCGGCTCGCCGTACACCTCGCCGCCCTGCGGCATCGCGAATGACTGCAAGCTCTGGTCCGGCGCCATCGCGAACGCCTGCCCATCGCCATACAGCGCATCGGGCTGCGGCGAGGCCATATTCGCGTCCTGCCCGTACCCAGCGCCGAAATCGACGTACTGCGCGAAATCCGGCACATACGCCTTCTCCTCCGCCTGCTGCTGAACATGCATATCCGGCGCGGCGGGCTTCTCGTCCCACGAGCGCTGGGGCTGCGGCGCGTAGAGCGGCAAGGAGCGGTCGGACGGCGCGGGCGAGTCCGAGTACGAGCTGCCCGGCATGGCTTCGGTCCACTGCGGCTGGGGCGGCGGGAAGCTGTCGAGCGGGCTTATGGTCATCTCCTGCGGCGGGACGAAGCCCTCGCCGTTCACGTTCGGCGCCATGGGCATCTGGAATTGTCCGTCGAACGCGAACTGCGGGAAGGCGCCGTCGCCGTGGCCGTGGAAGCCGGTGTTGCCTTCGAGGAACGCGGGGTTGAACAGGTCCGCGTTGACGTCGGGCAGCGGCGACATCGGGCGCATCGGCTCGTGCATGAAGCTCGCGGGCTCGAAGGGCATGTCCCAGTTGCGGAACGCCTGCGCGGTGGACGGGCGGCGCGGGAGGTTCCACGCCGCGGACAGCGACGCGTTGCCGCCGCCAAAGTCGATCGACGGCTGGCGCATGAACGGCAGGTTGGGGATGGCCGTGGGGAAGGGGAACGTGCCGGGCAGCGGGACGGACGACGAGCGGCGCATCCACGCGCCGTGCACGTGGTTGAGCTGCACCGCGTCCGCGTCCGACGGCGCGGGGCTCGGCGCGTGGCTGAATGCGGGCATGGGCGACGGGTGGCGCGTGGCGGGCGAGTCGTCGTCGTACGCGTCCGTCCACTCCTCCTCGCGATCTGGGGAATTCTTGAGCGCGGCCTCGAGCTCCTCGCCGGTGATGCCCTTGGCGAGCAGCGAGCCGAGCTTCTCGTAGCGCTCCTCCTCGTCCGCCTCGGGCTCCTTCCCGTTCTTGCCCTTGCGCGCCTTCTTGGGCGCGGAGGCGCCGGGCGCGTTGCGCGGCTTGTGCTTGGGCTGGTACTTGTAGTCCGGGTACAGCTTCTTGTGCTTCTCCACCTCCGCCGCCGCCATCCGCATCCACACCTGCCGCTCCTCCTCGGGCAGGTTCTTCCACGTGCTGCCTGCAAGTACTCGTCAGCGTTCGTGTTCTGCAAGTCGCGGGCCACATTGTGACGTCACGGGGTCACCGGGACGCGGTCGCCGACGCCCGAGTACGTGGCCTGATACGTTCCACGACCGACCACCGCAGAAATAGACAGACACTCACCGATGATCTTGCTCAGATTATTATGGTTCTGCTCGATCGAGCCGGGCACATGCTTCCGCCTTACAAACTCGGCGCGAAACAGCATGAACGCGTTCGCCGGGCGCGGGATGTGGCCCTCGCTCTGCTTGCGGCTCTTGCGCACGCGCTTCTTCTTCCCGTCCGCTACCTCGTCCTCGTTCGCACCGGGCGGGAGGGGGCCGAAGAGCGTCGATTGTGCTGTTTCGTCGATGAAGTGCGAGGGGGTGGCGCCGTAGTTGTCTGGCGTCAGGTTCGGCGCGAAGGCGACGTTCTTTGGCGTCGGGAGGCGGGGACGGGTGGTAGACTTGGACAGATGCACTGAATAAATGACTGTTAGTACGACGATGGAGCGCGATTGTAGAAGAGTGGAACGCACGATGGACAGAAGAACGCTTGCGGCGGGTGTTGCGGGCGACGGGCATGACGACTGACGACCGATGATGTCTATAGCTAGTACTAGCACACCGTATTAGGATCCGCGTAGAACTTCCACCGTCCGTCCGAACAAAAGACATACCTGAAAGCGGGACAGAGCGCAAAGGACAAAGGGACGGAGAGAGGCTGGTGGAAATGGGGAAGAAGGGCCGCACCCACGCTTTTGTGTAGCCTCGAACTTTATAACCGGGTGGGCAAAGTGCAGGCTATCGCATCGACGTGCGGCCGCGACCGCGGGAATCAGGGCGCGCGCCGAACCTTCCCAGCTTGAGCTGCGTCGTTCGTGTTCGTCTTTGGGCTGTGCTCCTCCGCGTTTTCGGGGGCCACAGCTCTCTGCTTCTCCTCGATCGGCCATCTTGCTCTCCATCTGCTCGTCTTTTCGCCTACTTCAGTGCGCTCTTTGGCTCTGTCTGTGCTCAGAGTTTCCTCTCGGGAGAATCCTGCATTCCCATCAGCACACCGAAGCATCAGACCAGTCTACGCTGGGCGCACCTGCCTATTCGGGCCTTCCCTTTGACCTCTCGTCTTCTCTATGCGCTATCGCTCTTCCACAGGACTGTTCTTCCCCTCGCACGGGGCCGGGCTACTGTGGCCTTCCTGAGTCCTGACCGGCCGACGTCGTGGTGTGCAGCTGGTCGCAAAAATCCCATTCGGCTGAGCCCCGCTGCCGACCCGCTGACGACTGAATCAGCGGTGATCAGCCATGACCACCCGTGTGTGGGCAGGTGAGCAGCACTGAGCAGCACTGATACTCACTGGTCTCAAGTGATCAAAAATCCAACAAAAATGTATATGTGCTTCTCGGGGCAGCCGGCGCCACCCTGGCATGCTCGTTGACAATCGCTAACTCGCACGATA